GCATACTACTTTGAGTGGAATTTTTTGGGTTGAGAACCCTGCTATGCCCCTTAGAGTCTGCAATCGCATCTTCATGGTCTGAAGGTAGACAGCTTTCTGGTCTCACTGGACCAACTTCAATGGCGACAATGAAAAAAAATGAACACTGAGGAGGATCTATGGGTGCATACCTGAGGGGTGCCATTGGTATAGTAATAGGATTTTATAGCAAACAGAACCACACAGATCCATAAATATTAGTAATACACATGTGCCCCATTTACACTACCCCTCTGAAACCAATCCAAGCTGAGTTTGGACAGAGCTTAGATCAGTTAACTGTTCTGACCTTGGTTCTTAAGACCATTTACACATCACGCTAGCACAGTTCCTCACTTCCTATCGGCGGCCCACAAGGCTACAGCTCTCAAGGCGGGAATTACAACAACAAAAAAATTTCGGCATCCATAACATTCAGGAACTTATGTGCCTGAATAGCATCCTCTGCCCAAATTTCAATAAGAACCTGTTTCGGCATTATACCAGGTGACACCACGCATTTTTGATGTCATTTAATGTTAATAGGTTGAGAACAAGTTTGTGTTGTGAACAGGTGAAGAGATCTGTGAATTGCAAAGCCAAACACGCCGGAAAACCTACGGAATGAGTCAGCTGACTGTAAATAGGAGAAAATGGGGTCTGCTCATGCACTCTTTGTTATCAGAGAACCAAGCCACAACTGTTTAACTAGTACTAGATTTAGCTTGGTTCAATTGCATTTTATTTAGACTCAACAGTTATCTCTAGGAGTGTCGGCCTTGTGGTTAAGGCATAGGTCTTGGAATTTTGAGGTTGTGAGTTCGAAACCCACTCCCACAGACTGCGTTACCGGCATTGTTTCAAAAGTGTAGTGTAAAGGCTAATTTATACTTCTGATGCATAGCCTCTGCAACCGTCAAATCTGTCTCTGTGCACCTCAGAAAAATCCTGACAACACGTAACAAAGGCCGCAAACCCACACAGACCTCAAGTGGAAGTGGAAAACAGAGGACTAATAACAATGGATAACCAAGACGAAAGGTTGATCAAGGAGGTTCGGAAGTACAACCACTTCTACAATGCCTGAGACATGTTGTGTTGGAAAATAAACACTCCCGCCGGCACCGCCGAAGAGGTTCTCGTGACCATCCGCCGAATAGGCTCCCCCTTAGCGCTTTGGCGGGAAACTGCTGTGCGTCCCTAGAAATTCCAGACAGACTTTGCAGAAACATACCAGCAAAACTGGTTCGAGACCAGACGCAAGCAACATTTGATGTGTGCGGTTGCAGTATAAAGTATTAAATGGAGCTATGAGGCTGCAGCTCGATCCTTAACTTTTATTGGAACCAAAATTCCTTTTAAAAGCAAATTGTGGCTTCACTTTAAGAGTCTGAAATATTAGTCTAGAAAGCTGGAATGAGACAACAATAAAGAATAGTAAAATGGTAAAGTGAAATAACAACTTTAGCAAAATATTTCCTTTGACAGCTGTAATAAAAACAGTAAAGTCTTACAGGGCAGGCCAGCTCCAGGAGGGATCCAGCCACCTCTGTGCTGTCGGTGTAGATACAGTTGACCTCCTGCTGCTGGTACACCATGGTTGTGGTGGTAGCTGCTGCCCCGCCTTCTCCCCCCTGCTGGCTGAACTCCTGCAGCACCTCTGGGCCCTTAGCGAGAGACTCCAGAAACTCCTTCATCCTATGCTGAGGTACCGTGCGGGCCTTCTGCCGCACATATTCATCAAATGAGACCACCCCACCCTCCTGTTCGTTCATCGTCACTTTACCTGAAATAATAAAAGCTGTATTTAACTGGACAACATATGAAAACAAACATGAATCTTGTTAGGCATGTTGCGTACTTTCTGTAAGATAATTCACAAAAACAAAACAAAAAAGAAAACGGCTCAGTAGTAATTATATTATTTTAGAAAAACATGATATCCAATATTCTTTCTCAGAAACGTTTCACAAACAAATGATTGAGGCTAAACCGCTAGATTGAACTTTTTTTTAACTTTACGATCACAGGTCATATACGCAACTACATGTGTATATTGGGGGAGTCGTTTACATGGTTAGAAATTAGTGGCCAAATCAACTCAAACGGTTTTTTACCTTATTTTGATTATTTGCGATCAACTGTTTTAACGCTGGAGCTAGCTGTTAGCATGCTAGCTTTATATTAGCAATACCCTGGCTAGTCACATCCCATATGGAATGTTTCCTAGCAGGCCAGGATTGGTCAGAATTAACAAGGTTCAATACAAGTACAAATATGTTCACAAAACCATAAAGCGTTTTATGGACGTTTGATCTCAAAACAAACATCAAAAGAACTATCCATTCATTACAACAGAGCGCTAGCTAACCACAGAGCTAAATGCTAACCAGCTAGCTCAACACCCTGTAGGATCCCGTCATGCTACCTTAAATAAAACGAAATCCTCTTCTTTCCGCCAAGGCACGGTGTTTAAAACTAAAAAGCCGATAAACGTATTTTAGCAACCAGCAGCATGCCAATCGATGCCTACATAGCGCAGCGTAAGCAGCGGCGAAATCCCGCAAATAAGGCTGTGATTCCACCGCGATAGAAATGTAACTGCTGCGGTGAAGCGGGGCGAAGAGGCTCTGACGTCTGCTTATTTTACAGGCTGAGCTCCGGAGGTTGCCTGCCTCTGCTATGCGAGTTTCCCCCCCGCGGATAACTGACCAAAATCCAAATAAATATAGCTTAGCCTCTAAAGAAAACCCACCTTCGTAAGTTGTCCAGAAAGCAGTTAAATGTCGGAAGTACAGGCCTTGAAAACAATGATAGTAAGCAGGCAACCAACGGCCTGACGCTCACTCCTAAACTGAGGCTCCTATCCTGGGACTCAAATCAGTGTCTATAACTGAAATTAAAACGTCATAATGATCAACAGATAACGGATAAAATAAAGCAGGACTCTATAAGTTTGAATATACGACTGTGCCAACATCTTAGAAAGAAAGACGAATCAAATAGAATCAAATATCCATATACAGTACAGATACTTGAAAGTGTTGCACTAGACAAAGTGAAAGTGCAACAACACTACAATCTAAAGTGTCCACGTGCACATACGAAAACACATGTTACAATGGGGAATTAGATGTGTTTTAATCATATAAAAACTATTTTAAAACCCAATTTTTAGGAAAGTTTGTGGTTTTAAGTAACAAAAATTATTTGAAATAATCAAAATAACAATAAAAACTGATTCACAGACTCATCAACACTGTGGTATTGTTAAAGTGCTCTTCTCACTAGTCAACAGTAAAGCCTGGTACACATTTGAATGCGTATACCTTTAACAAAATCTAACTTCCCCAGTCTGCCTTAAAGTGCCAGGCATGTGCCACTGAGGGCGTCCCCCTGCTAGCTTCACAACAAACTGCCCCGTGCTGCTCTTAAGGTGGACCGAGCTAGATGTGCTCTGAATGGGCAGAGTCTGCCACTCAGTGGACAGGTAAGAGTTAAAATCAATCCCTGTTCACAGATTTGATGTGATCCTGCAAGATATCAACTGGAGTGATGTTAGTAGAATGTAGAGCGTAGATTAATTAGTTGCAAAACGCCCACCAACATTAGGCAACATCTATGAAGACCAAGGAACACACCAGGCAACAAGAGATGGTTGTACAGAAGTTTAAAGCAAAGAGAATTTAGAAAACAATCTCTCAACCTTAAAAACATATTTCAAAGTACTGATCAACCTAAAATAAATGCTAAAACATGTAGCATCTGTAAAAACAAAAAACAAAACTCTGGAGGAGCTGCAAGGATTCACAGCAAAGGTGACTGTAGCTTTTATTATTTCATCCTAGGTTATAAGTTTACATTTTTAGTTTACCATCTAAAGACTAAAAGTCTTTTGCTTGATATATTTGACCTTAATGGGTGATTGGCAAAGGAAATTGGCGACAAAGGCGTAGGAGGCAGGAATTTGTCCTGCACTTGGAGAGTCACCGGTTTGAACCCCAGTTCTGTTCAACTTAGTCACTGCTGCCTTCATCCACATCGCCTACTGACAGTAGTCAGAGGGCTTAGTGGAGCCTGTGTATGGCAGCCTTGCTTCTGTCAGTGTGACTCAGGGCAGCTGTAGCTATCAGTGTGTTAATGTGTGCATCAATGGATAAATGACTGAATGTAGTGTAAAGTGGTTTAGAGGAGTCCCCTCACAAAGGACACTTACTATTCCATTTACCAAAACTAAATTGTTTGAGGTTTTGACATGTTTTTTGTGCAAAAATATTGAAAAACTCTTATTTTCTTTCAAAATGTGCTACAAAGCAAAACATAGAAACCTGAGTAAGCATTTTTTTTTCTTAAAATAAGTGCATTTTTTCTTGAATTGAACAGATAAAGGAGAGATTTTTCCAATGGAATAAGACCGTTTAGATTTAACATAAAAAATAAAAAATGACTGCTGTCTCTTATTTGAAGAGCATGATATCTAATTATCTTATTTTAAAGGTGAAAATAATCATTCCACTGGCAAATCATCTCTCCTTTATCTACTCAATTAAGGTTGAATACTCTTATTTTAAGAAATTATTACTTACTTTTAGATAATTAGTAGTTTGTGTTGGTTTGTCAAATAATATCCAAATTAATTACAATGACGTTAATGGATGGAGGAGGATGAAATGTAATTAATTGTCAATATGGTTTCAGTAAACTGTATAGTTTTTAATGCAGTCACATAGCTTATACTAATCACAGTGGATTCTCAATTAATTATAACTGTTTTCTTTATGCTGTAAACAGATCCTCTGTCCATATTTAAAGTTTTGAATATGGTGTTTTGTGTGTGTATTTAAAATAACAACCTAACATATTGTCAGTATTCAACTCTGGGATGTGCTTGTGTCTGTTTGGCTTCAGATCATGACTTCACATGACTTGCTGCCACTATAAGGATCTTAAAGTAATCCTTTTACCAAGGGATTTACATGCAGACAAATGTAAAAAGTCAGGTGAAGTTTTCACAGGCTTTACTTAATTAAGAAAAAAGCTGCAAAATGTATTTGTACAGTAACAAAATTATCCTTTTTTTCAGGCTAACTTTTTTACAGCCCTTTTTACATTTTAGGTTTTAACTAATTATTCAGGTCACCCTGGGATGAGAAAAAGCCCATGTCAACAGCTGGTGCATTAAGAGGACTAAGACTTCAGCTCAAAAGGTTTGAATCTGTCGGTGAGCGTGTCAAACTCGGCTACTAAACTGTATTTGTGTTCGGCGAGATGTTTAGGTGGAAAATTAACAGATAGCCCTGAACCAGTAAAGAAGGAAGACAACCAGTAAAATCCTGAAGGGGAATCCAGACTATCAGGAGCTGCAGGTAACTGTTATGTTATTATTTAGCTCTTGTTAGAATTTTGTTCTGATAAATGAATACTCAAAAGTTTGAACAATAAATATTCTGGCTTACTTACTGCTCTTAAACAACAATGCAACAACATTTTAAATAATAATGAAATAATGAGTGATGAGTCAAATGGAAAACTGAAATCTCCTTTATTGGATGCTTAATATTAAATCTTATCAAATTTAATGTGTAAACATTTATAAAGCAGTAACAACTGATGTAGCATCTTAAAGTAAAAGTACCTCCTTTATGTTACAGTGGGAAATTTAAAGTTAATAATTTCAGATGTAGTTGTTGTAGTAATTATGCATATCTAACAAGTGACCAGAACAATATTTGTGACCCAAAGTTTCCCCCCTTTCTGTGTTCTATTTATTTTTTCTGGGTCAAATCAGCTGCAGACACCATCTAATTTGTAAAGCCTCTGCATTATAAAATGAATTATAGGATTAAAACACATCAAAGGCTGGGAGATCTCTTTTCCCCTTAAATGGGTCTTTACTTTTATTTATTTTTTCTGCTTTCAACATTATGGTTATTATAACTAGCTACAAAGTAGTATACTATAAAACATACACACTTTGAAATCTGCTTTTATTCATGGGAGTTTTTTTCTTTGTATTCCTCCTCAGATCTTGGCTCCCAATTTTTCAAACATGGGGCCCTCATCTTTTGTCCTTGTTGCTCTGGCTGCATCTCTCTGTTCACTTGGAAGCCTCAGTCAGGCTTTGCAAGCACTTACTGTCTCTGGCTCAGTAGGGATACCACAGAGCACAGGTGATAACACTGACAGGCAGAACGATGTAGACGGGAAACATATGCTTCTTTCAGAGAGCTTTTTGGAGGGGAGCGGACATAGTGCTGAAAGCAGGACTTTGCTGGAGCTCCACAATAAAAATCCATTCTGGAAGGAGTCTGACAAATCGAGCAATGAAAACCACTCTGGGAGTGAAATCATATTAACCACAAGATCCGCACTAAGTGTCTACAGCTCAGAAGCTTCCAACCAAGGAGCAGACAAAGCTAAATATTCAGTTACAGGATATACACGCTCCACTGGGGTCTCTGAGAATGTCTCTCTGGACATTCATAATGATTCTCAGAAAGGTAAGTCTGGTTTAGAATTGTTTGATGTTCCTTTGTCTATTATCTGGATAAAAAAAATATGTTGAGATATGAGTGAAAAAAATCTAGTCTTTTAAATTATCACCTGTTCCATCATCTGATGAAATGTAGATTCTTTATGAGTTGCCCCATGTGGTCAAATGATTATTAGCTAAAATTTTAGATTAGACTGCTATAAGTAGGAGCCATGTTCTAGTGCACCTCAATGTGAAGTAAGCGGAAATTAATAGGTGAGAAGGGAAGCTGTCAGCGTGCTTGTATAATATGAAACATTGTTCCTGTGTCACTGGTGCAAGGTTTGGTAATAAAAAATGTTTCATAAGTAACAAAGCTCAATCTAACCTGAGTTTAAGTTAGGGTTTGCTGGCATGCATATTAAGAAATGCTGGTGTGCAGGTTGCTGTTTTTAAATTGTTCGTTATATTAATCTCATGCAAAAACATAAGACATTTTCTCTATCTTTCAGGTGAAGATCACCCCAGACTTCCCGTTCAAACCAGTGCATTTTCCTTAACGGCTGATCCCAGCCTTTTGGGACTGGAGAGGCCCATCTTGAACAGCTTCAATGGTACCAGTCTTCTCTGGGAGGACATGAGTCGCACGCTGACATTTGCTTGGGAGCTGCATGTATTTGGTTCTGTGAGCCTTTTCATGTTGATAACAGTCCTGGCGGCTGTGGGAATGGCTGGAGCATGCTTTCTTCCTCACATCCTCCGTGATGCCCTCATGCTTACTAATAGTTTCCTAACTATGGCAGGGGCTTTGCGCACAGTTCCTCTTTTCATTGATCCTTACGGTACCCGTCAGATCTTGTCTCATGCCACACTGGCAGCACTACATAACATTCCTCTGCATCTTCTTCTTTGGGCACAGGTTGTCCTCGCTCTAGTCACACTAGGAGGGTTCAAAGTTTTACCTTTCCCTATGAAGGTGCAATGCTCGTGGATGGTTGGATTGCTCGGCATTTCCCACTGCACTACCTTGTTTTTATCTGATCTGTTCTCTTCAGCCTTGCCCCCTGGTTTTCCTCTTTTACTGCAGAGCATCTCTCTTTGCTGGGGCGTTCCTTTTTGCCTGGGCATTCTAACTAGGTCTCTTTCCCGTTCACAACCCTTGTCCAGATCTGCTGTACCACAGTGGGTTCCCTCTAAGAGAACAGAGAGGCTTGGAAAGCGAGTAACAGCTGTGTGCGCCTTCCTTGGTGTACTGTGCTGCAGTCTTCAGATGTACAGTCTTCTATGGATTTATGGACTTCTGGGGAGCTGGAGGCGCTTTAGTTGGAGTTGGTGGCTCAGTCAATTTTGGGCCCGAATTCTTGAGCTAGCGTGGGGATCCTCTATTCTGTTTCTTGGATCTTGGATCTTCTGGAGACCATCTAAAAGCATTGTAAGAGGAAATCATCCACAGGATAGAAATAACATGGCAAGGGGAGAAAAGAAAGGTTTGTGGCATAAATTCTTTGCCGGCACGCAGAAAGGCCCAAGGAAAAACCCAGAGAAATCCTTGGAAGACTTGATGCCTAATAACTTAGCAAAGCATAACATGTCTCGTGACAATGCAAGGCATGATTATAAGCAGGCTCCCTCTAAACTAGACTATTGCTCTGATCCTGTTAGTATCAGCACATTGGACTCTCAGACTACAATGATGTGGCAGAAAGTCGGTGAGCGAGAATGTGTTCTCTCACTTATAGAGTTTGACATGCTTCCCCCGTCTCCCATCAACCTCAGGCTCAGCATTGACAATGCCCTTTATCATGGGCAGCATGTAGCTGGCGCTGTCTTCACTCCTCCTCCTCCCTCTTGGACTCAGAGTATGAGCATAGATGGAAAGAGTGGACCAACTACATTCCCTCCTGCCGGCTATGGGTGGATGTTGGATACCGAGTCAATATCTGCATCTTTAGACCATTTTCAGGCCAAGGAGCCAACACAATCAGTAATATCTACGCCAGACTTTAATGGTAGGATTAGATCTCCAGTAGCTGAACCAATGGGAGAGCAGTTTTCAGTAGGGATGCCTCTAGGTGACTTGTCTGATGACGACGTTACAGATCTTTAGCCTGTTTGTCTTTATAAATGTAGCATTGTCAGGTCATTTTTAACTCACAGAATTATGCTGCATGAGCTGTTAAACTGACGCAGTGGATGGTTTCCTCTGTGCTGTTCTTCCACTGTTTAACTTTGAAGGCTCTAATATTGACTTCAAAAACTTGCAAATTTGCAGCATTGGTGTATTTAGTAGTCATTGTATCAATGTTATTCTTAAAGATTTTTGGCAGTCTCCATGAAAGGAAATGTATAAAAAGAAAAAAAGAGGAAGAGATGTTATGAATGTCTCTGGGCAGGAATGTAAACCCAGGATGGCTTCATCAATGTCCAAGGTTTGCAAACATTGGCTGGACTTTTTAACCATGCTCAGCCACCACACCCTCCTAAGTCTTTGCTCATATTAATTGGTTTTATATAATCTACTAGAGAGAAAGTTACAAATGGCAACTCTAGTTTTTTTTTTTTTATAACATAAGAACTTTATGTTTATATAGGGAAACAATTTTTCTTTATATAGAACAGAGAGCTTCTTACTGAACTCCATGAACTACATCCACATCTCTATACTCTCCGCAACAGCTTTGTTGAGTTTTGAATGCTATGTAAGCTGGCATATGTAAAATAATGAAAACCAAATGATTTATGTATGTCACATAAGCTTGATTATTGTCAGTTTCTTATATCTTTAGTGATATTTGTGAGTCAGACTGACTCACATTTTAGATCATTTGCCCTTATCTTTTCCTACAGTAAGCATTTCTTTAGACAAACTATCTATAGATTTAAATTTTTTGATTGGACAAGAAGGTTTGCTCAGTGCAGGAGAAGAAAAAATGCATGCTCTTTCATTGTTCCATGACATAGGGCATAGGAGATGTATCAAACACTTAGCCCTTTCTCAGAACAAAACAAATAGGAATAAATGCTGAAAATGATAGAACTCAAAGAGTGAGTATTCATTGCACAATTATAGCTGTATTCATAATTATAAACCAGTTTGTATTCCAAAACAAATAATATAATAAAATAATTGTAGAGGTTTTTTTTTTTTTTGTATTTATGAGATACATATGAGTTGCAGCAGAAAATAAACAGCTTTATTGCACTTACAAAGTCATGACATTTCTGACTTAAACTGCAAAATCAGTCCACATTGGAAGTATCACCCTTGCCTCCATCCTAGTGAGCATTGGGATCTCTCAAGGCAGTTTATCCAGTCCATTGTTGGCTACACCACTATAATGATAATGACAGATGATACCACAATAATCAAAATCATTCTTAGGAATGATCATTTAACGATCAGTGAGGATTTTAAACAGCTAAAGGAGTTGTACAGAACCAAGTTGATTGAATTCTACCAGCATCCTTACCACTGTGAATGGTGGTGGAGTGAGTTGTAGTTGGGCATCCTACGTGGTATTCCAGCTGCAGTAAGCCAGGAAAGGAGGAAGAGGTAAAGGGCAGTATGAGGTCTCTCTGTAAAAATGTCTTCAGAGCTGCTACATAGACTGCAGCCACTGACAGTTAGTTAGTATTAAATTATTATCAAGAAACAGTATTGCACTTATTTTATAAGATATGTTGTGTTTGTTCCTCTCTGTGGGATTTTTTTTTTTTTTTTTTTGCACAATAAAGTGTAAAAATCTCAGCGTAATTGTGTCTTCTTTTACTTGTACAAAAAAAGTCAATTATTTTGGTATTTATTTTATTGTAAAAATCTTAAATTTAAAGTTAGCGAAAATATCAGCAGAACATTAAAATAATGAATAAACTAACACCTGCGTTCAACATTTTTAACTCAGTGAACCTGAAATGACCTGCATATATTGATTTGAAATACTCTTCGTTGAATGCAGCCTCTATTGAAATCACAAACATTTGTTGATACTCGGGTTAAATCTGGGCAGTTTCACACAACTTTTTTTTTTATATATATAGTGGTAGCCTATTTCTATGAATTGTTTCAGATTCCAGATCACTTTTCTTTTTCACACAAACGCAACATTATAACCTATGAATTTCCTGACAGGTGCGCTTTGTGACTTCGTCCTGAGTGATTGGTTAACTAATTTCACAGTATATCTTTGGTCATTACACGTAATGGAGATCCTGGCGATTAGCTGCACGTTTATAGAGGTCACAGATTAGCGGACCGCGGTCTGGATCCGGACCCCCTGGCTGGCTAATCCGGACCGAACCTGATTTAAAACGTTTATCAATTACGACATGTTGTCCGACAACAGTGTCTAACTTCAATTGCGCCGCTTCTCCTGTTAATATGGTAAAACCCTCCGGAGCGTCCAGCACCAGGCTTCACGTGATACAAATTAGCCAATGAGCTGTGTCAGTCTGGGTTGCTGCTGCTGGCTACTTTTAGACACAGCAGTAAACCTGTGGGAAGCTGGACGATGGGAAAGAAGGAGAAGATGATGAGAAAAAGAAAGCGGAGAAAGTGTAGCCTGATAAACTAGACTAAATGTGACATTAAATGTGTAATTTAGTCTGGCCCTGATGAATGAGACATCTGATCGGAAAATTGTTGATGAGAACAACCCGTTGTCTTTCAAACCATGTCTGTGCCTATTGGCCAACGCTCTGACCAATGAGCGCAACTGACTGTGAGCGTGACAGAAAGCTGGTGGGGGAACAGCCTATCGGTAAAACGGCGAATACGTCCTTCTTAAAAATTAATGAGCGTAGAGCCTCTTTCTACTCACGTTTTAACGAAAACCCCAATTCTAATCCCTCCAAAACTGACTCAAGAGAAGAAGTGTTCAATAGTTGTTGCCATCTTCCTTGTTGTGCTTTCTCCAGCATCATGCTGCTTTGTCATCACGCCCTCAAAACCCCGCCCGCTTTTCATCCAAAAATTCAAAACACATCCCTGCGTTGTGATTGGCCCGCCAGTTCTAGGGCCTGGGGCATTGATCAAGGCTAGACCACTCACAGGCTAATTTACTAGGCTAGAGAAAGTGTAGACTGCTGGAAGAACTGCGGTGAACTGGTGACAGAAAAGTGAAATGGCGTGCTCAAAGATGACCCTGCACATTTTGAGTATGTCTGGCTCAACCTACTGCTGTGAAGCAGGATTCTCCACCATGAACATAATCAAAAATAAATATTGGTCCAGACTCACAAATGATCACCTTGATATGTGCTTGAGAATGGCTTTGTCTCCATTTATACCCAGGTTTAAAGCCTTGCAGGGCAGCATAAAGCCCACTGCTCTCATTTAGCCATCAAAAAGAGAAAATAACAATTTCAGTTCCGTTGTTTCGTAAAGTATGTGAATCAGGAAATTGTCTATATAACAAAATGGAAGAAAACATTTTTTTAAATATTTTTTATTTAAAAATTCAATCTATAACATGGATGCATAAAAACCTGCTTATATTTCAGTGTAAAATTCTGTTTAAAGTAACGGATTATAATTAAAAATGTCTCCGGATCTTTACTGGTTGATGATTTTTTTTTATTGGGACCCCGCTGATTTTTTATTTGTTACCCCTGCTCTGTACAGTCTCAAGAGCTGTGATAACTTTGTGGAATATTTAGCCGTATTTGCATTGATTGTCATCCTGGGCCCTCCACTCTGTCTGATGGACTTTCTGCTGCAGCGGAGGAAACACCTGCAATTCAAGGCATTCATTGCCTCAGCCGAATCAAGTCTGGGTTGAAACCTGAACCTGCAGCTTCAAAATTACATGCTTCACTAACCTTTACAAATGAGCAAAACATATACTTTAATTCTTCCAAAGGTGAGTTTTACCATCAGAAATCCCCTTAAATATGCTAAATGCTGGCAACCTGGGTTTTTTTTCCCCCTTCTAATCTTTCGTCTTAAGCCTTAACAGTTTCGAGCACTGCCTGTTTGCAAAAATGCTGCCAAGCATCTAATTTCCCTCTTTAGTTTAAAAGTTTCCTTAAAATACTTATCTCTAAGCTTAGAGAAAAACATAGATATTTGTACCCTATTTGGAATTTTGATGAAAAGCATTAATTTGAATTTCAGTACTGCTTATAATTCTATTATGATTTTTTTTCTTTCTTGAGTAAAAAAATAACAAGCGCAATTCACAATTTACAAGTGAAACATAACAAGCCTTATGTTTCAATTGTGATCCAAAGAAAGTAAAGAAGAGAAGGCCATATTTCCATGTTTAGATACAGGCCACATGGTCTCTGATTAAAGCTATAATGGTCTCATGTTCTATACAGTTGTAAACAATTTTCAAACGTTTATGCATTGCATATAGAAGCTACCGAAAAGCCCTTTGCTAATGAGGGTGTTGTATATATATATATAAATAAAAAAAACAGCTTGGAAGGGTGCAAGGGCTTTTAGCAAGGTAAGACTCTAACAAGTATTATATTTATTTAGTTATTATAATGACTTTTAATGTATGAATTGGTATGCTTTTTTTCTTCCTTTTTCCCATTTGTATCCCTGCATTCTTTTTAAATTAGTTCTTTTATTTAACTTTATGAAAACACTGAAGTCCATTTAGATGGAACTCTTGATTTTCTCTTCTTGTATTTTAGTATTGCTCCCTGCAAAACTGCAGCGCCTGGCTCCATCATTGCATTGTGATCACAACCAGATGACTCTCTCAGTCAAAAGAAGAGGAACTCATCATCTTCTCCTCAATAGCGGTTGATTCTATGTTTTGTAAAGGAGTCAGAAATGTTCTCCAGTATGTAACGAGACGATTAACTTGTCCCTCTATCAAATAGGTAAGGAGACTCTTACCCTTCTGTCCCACATGTCCTCCACGTGTGGCTTTTTTGTAAAGAGGTCCCACAGAGATGTGCAGTATGGGACATCCTATAAGGGCTGCCATGTTAAAAAAACAGGTCAGTTTTCTTTCATGCTCCATAAAGGATTGGACTTCACAGCTTTAAAATGGGTCGCCATTACAGCTATTTTATTTTATAGGATGATGAATATTCCTTACTACTGCAACAATGGGGGACACCAATGACCATGTCCTGTCCTAATGTGTAGCCACTGCCTTGGGAAAATGGATGTTAGTAGAGTTCATTGCTGGAAGAAAAGCTGTAGGAGGCTGCAAAAGATTTGTCCTCCCAGCAGGACTGGAAAAGTAAATATAACTGTTGGAAGACTTACATTTTTACTGGTGTTCTACATCCAATTTGGAGAAGTGTTGAAATAAAGAGTTAATGTTGACTTGCTGAACAATTTCAACAGAATACATTCAACTTTGTGCTTGTAATTGGCAAAGCTTAAGATGAGGGAATCTTTTTTGGAAAGCATGCAGCATTATTTTGATAATACTAATTTGTTCAAGAGGAGATTTTATGGTGGCAGTAGGACGTGAACTAATTTCTTTACAGTGCAATGAATCCTACAAGGCGCTATTGCTTAAAACCTTTTTTTTTTATATATGTTTTTCAAATTTTCAGCTCTGGAGTGTTTTTTTCCCCCTTATTACAAAACATGTCTTGTGTTAAAACTGTTGCAGTGCCTGGCTCGTGGCAGCCTTTTTCATCAGCATGTAGGAGCTGTGGACTGACTTTTAAAGAGTTGTCAGGTGAGATGATGCTAATTGAGCCTTACAAAAAAATCTTTTTCTGTGGAGATCAAGGTATGATGGGGCCCTCTTGTGGTCAAAAGTTGAAATTAAACTGTAAATTTGCAGAACTTGAGCTTAAGGGCTTCATGTTCAGTTGTGTCAAATGCAGACTTCTCAGGAATAGCTGCACACTCTGGTGACTGTGATAAAGCTCTGCATCTTCAGTACCCTCAGCTCCCAATATTTCCACAGTTCCCAGAGGCCCAGTCAGCACAAAGTCCTGGACTTGTGACTCCATTGCCAATTTCATTTGTTGCTGCAGACTTTCCTGAAAGCCAAAAGATGCTTGAAAACATGAAACCTACTTTACTCCTTATTTTTGATTCCCAGACCTGAATCCCCACACTGAAAAAAAAATAGAGGTTGACAGAACTTACATTTTCTAGGCAACGTGATGCATTTGGTTTTTTGAGTTTTCCTTACTTAAATTCACTGTGGTTGAGTTTACAAAGATTTTTGAGTTCTGCCAACTTAGGTTTTTGGAGTGTTACATAGAAATTTTGAGTTCTACCAACTTAGGTTTTTGAGTTTCACCTTTAAGTTCTGAGTTCTATCAACTTTGTTTTATGAGTTTGACATATAGATTTTGAGTTCTACAAACTCAGATTTTGTAGTGTTATCTGCAAGTTGAGTTCTATCAACTCAGTTTTTTTAGTCCTACCAATCGTCTTCACTACCAATCATTCAACACACAAAAAATTATGTTAATACAACATTTTTATTGCTTCAAGCCAAACATTGCATCAATAGATACAGTATAAAACCATGTTCAACAACATAATCTTAACTGCACAGATCAAAGTAACCTGACACTGGACCAGAATGTTCTAGATTCGTAAGAGTGATGATGAGGGAAAAAACAGTAAGACACCATTTTAGTAAGAGGAAAACACACAGGTAATTTTTTGTGAAGTAAGTGTATTAACATACACTATATTGCCAAAAGTATTTGCTCACCTGCCTTGACTCACATATGAGCTTAAGTGACATCCCGTTCCTAATCCATAGGGTTCAATATGACGTCGGTCCACCCTTTGCAGCT